ACTGAACTACTTCTCTTTCCCGGAAAAGACTCGCTTACGACTAGGAGGCGGACAGTCAACTTTGGAAACTCTGTGCTAACGCCCACTTCGACTGCTAAGAACCTCGGCGTCACACTCGACAACCAACTCTCCCTGACTCCCAACATCACTGCGACAACGCGATCCTGTAGATACACGCTCTACAACATCAGGAGAATACGTCCCCTTCTCACTCAGAAGGCAGCGCAGGTACTGATTCAGGCTCTTGTCATCTCCCGCCTGGACTACTGCAACTCCCTCCTGGCAGGTCTCCCTGCCACCGCCATTCGACCTCTGCAGCTCATTCAGAATGCAGCAGCTCGACTGGTCTTCAACCTTCCGAAATTCTCCCACACTACTCCACTCCTCCGCTCTCTTCACTGGCTACCGGTGGCCGCCCGCATCCAGTTCAAAACACTGGTGCTCACGTACCATGCTGTGAATGGATCGGGTCCAGCTTACATCCAGGACATGGTCAAACCCTACATCCCTACCCGCACTCTCCGCTCTGCATCTGCAAAACTACTCGTCCCTCCCCCACTGAGAGCAAAACACTCGACTAGGTCTCGACTCTTCGCTGTCCTTGCGCCGAAATGGTGGAACGCGCTCTCTGAAGACATCAGGACCGCAGAGAGCCTTCACATCTTCCGCCGCAAACTAAAGACACACCTCTTCAGACTCTACCTCGACTAAAGACTAACAAATTGTAGCACTTAAACTGTACTTGTGACGTCACTCATCTATAGCAAATTGTAAATTCGCTATTTGAGGAAATGCACTTTTCTAGATTCCTGTCTTCTGAGTTGTACCCTATGGTTGAATGCACTTATTGTACGTCGCTTTGGATAAAAGCGTCAGCTAAATGACATGTAATGTAATGTAATGTAATGTAAAAATAATTACGAATCTTTATTGACGTGAATTTAAAAGAGAATCACAGGGGCGACCCATGAAGCCCCGCCCCCTCCATAGTAAAGAACATGATATAATGCAGAAGGCACGAGTGACATCATGAGTGACATCATGAGTGACATCATGAGTGACATCAGAGACAGGAACCAAACCCAGACTCAATATTTACTGCAGATCTCAGTAATCATGGAAACAAGAGGGATGATCATAGATATATGATAGACAGATATATGATCCATAGATCGATAGATCGATAGATATATGATAGATATATGATAGATAGATATATGGTAGATAGATAGATATATGATAGATAGATATGATAGATATATGATCATAGATATATATATGATAGATAGATATGATAGATATATGATAGATAGATATATGATAGATAGATATGATAGATAGATATATGATAGATATATGATCGATAGATATATGATAGATAGATATATGATAGATAGATAGATATATCATATATCTATCAATCATATATCTATCTATGATCGATAGATAGATATATGATAGATCGATAGATATATGATAGTTAGATATATGATAGATAGATATATGATAGATAGATAGATATATGATAGATAGATATATGATCGATAGATCGATAGATATATGATAGATAGATAGATGATAGATATGATAGATATATGATCGATAGATATATGATAGATAGATATGATATATGATAGATAGATATATGATCGATAGATAGATAGATAGATATGATATATGATAGATAGATATATGATCGATAGATAGATATATGATAGATAGATATGATAGATATATGATCATAGATATATATATGATAGATAGATATGATAGATATATGATAGATAGATATATGATAGATAGATATGATAGATAGATATATGATAGATATATGATCGATAGATATATGATAGATAGATATATGATAGATAGATAGATATATCATATATCTATCAATCATATATCTATCTATGATCGATAGATATATGATAGATCGATAGATATATGATAGTTAGATATATGATAGATAGATATATGATTGATATATGATAGATAGATATGATATATGATAGATAGATAGATATATGATAGATAGATATATGATTGATATATGATAGATAGATATATGATCGATAGATAGATATATGATAGATAGATATGATAGATATATGATAGATAGATATATGATAGATAGATATATGATAGATATATGATCATAGATATATATATGATAGATAGATATGATATATGATAGATAGATATATGATCGATAGATATGATAGATATATGATAGATAGATATATGATAGATAGATATATGATAGATATATGATCATAGATATATATATATGATAGATAGATATGATATATGATAGATAGATATATGATCGATAGATATGATAGATAGATATATGATAGATATATGATAGATATGATAGATATATGATCATAGATATATATATATGATAGATAGATATATAATAGATATATGATAGATAGATATATGATAGATAGATAGATATATGATAGATAGATATTTGATAGATAGATATATGATAGATAGATATTTGATAGATAGATATATGATAGATAGATAGATATATGATAGATAGATATGATAGATAGATATGATAGATAGATAGATATATGATAGATAGATATTTGATAGATAGATATATGATAGATAGATATATGATAGATAGATAGATATATGATCGATAGATATATGATCGATAGATAGATATATGATAGATAGATAGATATATGATAGATGGACTGACAGACAGATGGGCGGGTGGATCCACAGGAAGTGAGTCAATCCGATGTTTGTGTCACTGATGACATCACGCTGTCCTTCACCAGGCTTCATGGGGAGTTTCTGGTTCTGATGTTTATCTCCGGACTGCAGGTTTTGTTCCACTGGAAAAAAGAGGCCTGACATCTATTTAGCAGATGTGTCTTCATCCGCAGTGTGTGGTTACACACACACAACGTCCGCTGCTAGCTAGCTAGAGACACACGCCTCATTGTGTGCGCGTGTCCTCTGACACACGGGGTTCACCTCTAAAGATAAGAGCCCTCGCTGCCTTAATGACCTTTATGACCTTCATGACCTCCCAGTGAAGCTCTCCTCTAGAACCGATGGTTGTCACGGCAACGACAGGCAAAGCCAGACCTCCAGACTGCTCAGTAAACATGACGCTCTTCGGCTCGAGCTCCCTGTCACCAGTCAGCTGCTTCCAGCCGCCTCAGTGGTCGAACCTCAATACGCTTCCTTCTTCAGTGACATCATCAGTGACATCATCACTGAGACTGTGAGGTCAAGACAAGAAAATAAATTCATCTTCATCGAGAACCTACAGACCCATGGAACCTCTAAAAGCCACTTATAAAGACCCAAAGAACTTCTTAATGGACCTTCAGAACCTCTTGATTCATGAAACTTTCCTTTCATTGAAAACAACACAACAAAGTATCATTTTGAATCACAAACATCATACGTGTCCAAACGAATTATGAAGAAAACCGAAAGGCATCCATCTGCTGCTGACAGCTTCGTTACCATGGAAACACAGCACAGAGGCGCGTGATGCCCTGCTGTCACCTGTAGATCAGACCGAGATTCAAACCAGCAACCTCCCCATTCTTCACTACAAAACATCTGTGGGACGCGCGCACCACTCACACTTCTGCAGCGAGGTGACCAAACCCTGACGTCACCATCATCATCACCATCATCGTGCGTTCCGTGCGCGTGTCCGCCTACCTGTGTCTGCTGGCGACCCGAGCTCCGTGCGCGTTCCCGCCGGTGTACAGGCTGTAGGAGGATCTCTGCGGGAACGCGCCCCTGGCGTGCCCGCTGGTCCAGAGCGCGAGCACCAGCATGAGGAGCGCAGCCATCCCGCTGATCGATGAGGGTTATCGGACACTGATCGGCTCCTCAATTGGCGGGAAAAAGTCCCATCTCCAAGGAGACCAAGAAATAAAAGTCCCCCAAAGTCCGCCCGTCCTACCGACCCATGATCCGGTCCAAACACACGAACCAGACCTGAAGTCAAGTCTCCTCTGGTCTGCTTCGGGTCCCGCACCGGGTCCGGGTCCCGCTGCTCATTCACCTTTAACTCAGTTTGAATCCGGGTTGAATCCGGTTTACGGCGACTGGCCGAGTTTGTCCATCAGAACTTTTCATGTGAAACAAAGAGCGAAGAAAACGTTGCGACAGGCTGAACCGAGACCAGCTGCTCCTCCTCTTCATCACCGCCCCCCCCGCCCCGCCCCGCCCCCGGGCCCCGCCCCTCCCGCGGGAGAAACCAGACACGTGCAGCTCCGCGCCCACACCTGCAGCGCGCCAACACCGACAGACCCCCAGAGAACCCAACAGCAGCACGTGCAGGGAGTATTATTACGAGTATTTATGAAAAGTACCAACATGTTGTGATGACAGCTCCAGTGATTTAAAGTACACTTTAATCTGACTTTGTTTGACGTGTACAGGTGAGTATCTGCAGGTGAGCAGCAGCTCTTTAAACCACATTGAATGACAACGTTTTGTAATCATTCAGAAATACACAATGGAAGGAAACAAAATAACACAACAAAGCAATAAACATGCAAGGCAACAACGTACGATAATGCGGAGCGTGTTGATGAGACACGTGTGTGAGAACTGACTATTGATTAAAGGCTCCTCATTAAACATGTGAACCTTTAATATAAAGAAATAAGAGGCTCATGAAATGTCGTAACCTTCAAACGTCTCTTTCAAGAGCCACAGAGAAGAAAACATCCTGCCGACTTCCTGGGGTCAAAGGTCACTTCATATCTGCTCCCTAAAATAAACGCCTCCAGATGACCTCTAATACACACACACACACACACACACACACACACACACACACACTCAGTAGATTAGTGAAGAAGCTGCAGTGTGAATGACTACGTGAGCTTCTCGTCCTGTGGGTGTGTTTGATTTGTGTCACTGTGCATGATAAATGGGTGGAGTCTGTATAATAATATAATGCTTGCTTATAATGCCAGCTTCCTCAGACCTCCTCAGACCCCTTCAGACTAGTTCAGACCCCCTTAAACCCCCCCAGACCCCCTCAGGCCTCCTCAGGCCTCCTCAGGCTCCATGACATTCTTTTTTATTCAGCACATTCTTCTTATCTTCCAAAACCTGGTGCCCACGCAGCCCGCTGGCTGAGGTGACATCAGCGGCGACAGGAACAATCACGTGATCACATGTGGAAAGAGAACACGGCTCTGGAGGGGAACACCTGAGCAAACTCTGATAACAGTTTCCATCCTCATAAGAACAACAGAGTGAGACAACAAAAAGGGCTCAGTGGGATTTAACTTCATCAGACCTCATAAATCAGGAGGTGAAGCCCCCCCAGGCCTCCCTCAGACCACCCAGACCCGTCACTCACACTAACCACTGGTTTCCCCTTTATGAGCTTTTGTATTAAACAGAGAGTCACATTCCACAGTGGAGCCTCAGGTGAGTCACCTGAAAACCAAAGCAAGCCAGAACTCCGGTGGATCCCTGTTTGTAACTCTCCCGATGTCATCAACGGACCTGATGAAGACAGAAACATGCTGCCGTAGTGCCTCCGAGCAGCACGCCGAACCCTCCACCGCCAACACATCACGCAGGACCGGTCTACAGAGTGGACTACCTGGAGTACCAGAACAACGGGGATGGAAGGCAGCAGTCACGTGGAGCAGAGCTGTGACAGCATCAACAACAACAACAACATCAACAACAACATCTGCGCTGTGGCGGATCAGTTGGCAACATCACCTCCTGGACACGTTCAGATGTGAGATCTTCATCACAGATCTGCTGCTCTTAATGGAATGTGATGGGTGTGTTTAGTGGAGGAATCACATGACACCACCTATGTCCATGGCCCCGCCCCCTCCTCTAGCGCCTGTCCGTCTTGCAGGGTTCACCTGGGGAGTCGGCACTCAGGTGCAGCCCGTAAACCAGCTCGTTATCAGACTAAGTGGGTCATAAAGGGTGGAGACAGAACTCAGGGTAACATTTCATGTTCCTGACCTCCTGCGGTGCAGTAAACCACGAAGGTCCTGTTGATCTGCTTGTGACGGCTCCTATCAGTGGGGTCAAAGGTCACAGAGTCTCACCTGTCAGAGCTCAGAAACCGAAGCAACGAGGACATTATCGTTAAAATGAAGAACTTGGATATGAGCATGAAGTTCAGAAGAAGAAGTGACTCCGAGCTGTGACACGTTCTCAGAGTGTCTCCTTCAGAGATGTTCTTGTTCCTTCCAACACACCGGTTCTATTATGGACTATGGTTCTATGATAACTACCTACTGCTCTGGTTCCTGCCGGTTCTTTTGCTTCAGTGAGGTTCCTTCTCACTGGCCTCGTTTCTGTTCTGCAGCCCGCTTCAATTCCTTCCTTCTAGGCTCCCTCACAGTGGCCCGGCTTCTTTCCAGGAACCGGGTTCCTTTCTGGCGGTCCACTTTGTTTCTCACAGCCCCGGTTCCTCCCTGAGGCCTGGTTTACATTTACCCAGGAGGCCGAGCGGTGACACCTGATTCCTGCGGAAGAACCTGCATGTGCAGAGGAGCGAGGACAGTGAGGACAGATGTTGGTGAATAGAATCCCTTTCAGTGGTGACGGATATCAATCGTGGTTCTTAGGAACGTTGGGAATGTGCTCGGTGGAAAGTGGGTCATGAATTGAAGTGAGACCACCACAAAGGAACATCAGCAGAGCTGGAAACAATTGAGCCTGACTGACAGACGTATTCCAGCATGAGGAGGAACCAAGGAGGGGAGATGATGACAGAAAGCAGCACGGACATCTTCAGCTGCAGGGGACAAAAACCCAGATGAGCATTCGGATTTCTACATTTAAAAAGTCACGGAATCAAAAGGTTTAAATCCATCACAAGGAACTTTAAATCTGTGTACTGAAGTGGAGTCTCCTTCCACCAGGGTCCCTTTAGAAAACCTCTCTGCTGGAGGATCTGGGTCTGTCCCTGGTGGACTCGTCTCTATTGGAGGATCTGGGTCCGTCCCTGGTGGACTGGTCTCTATTGGAGGATCTGAGTCCGTCCCTGGTGGACTGGTCTCTATTGGAGGATCTGAGTCCGTCCCTGGTGGACTGGTCTCTATTGGAGGATCTGGGTCCGTCCCTGGTGGACTGGTCTCTATTGGAGGATCTGTGTCTGTCCCTGGTGGACTCGTCTCTATTGGAGGATCTGTGTCTGTCTCTGGTGGACTCGTCCTCTATTGGAGGATCTGGGCCCGTCCCTGGTGGACTTGTCTCTATTGGAGGATCTGGGTAGGTCCAGGTCCGTCCCTGGTGGACTCGTCTCTATTGGAGGATCTGTGTCTGTCCCTGGTGGACTCGTCTCTATTGGAGGATCTGTGTCTGTCCCTGGTGGACTCGTCTCTATTGGAGGATCTGTGTCTGTCCCTGGTGGACTCGTCTCTATTGGAGGATCTGTGTCTGTCCCTGGTGGACTTGTCTCTATTGGAGGATCTGGGTAGGTCCAGGTCCGTCCCTGGTGGACTCGTCTCTATTGGAGGATCTGTGTCTGTCCCTGGTGGACTCGTCTCTATTGGAGGATCTGTGTCTGTCCCTGGTGGACTCGTCTCTATTGGAGGATCTGGGAGTATCTTTACCTCAAACATCTGGACATCAGTCCTTCAATCATCTGTTCTATTTGTCTTAAGAGTCGCTGCATATTGTTGTTGTAGTAAGTCAAATAATGCATGGAGGGTTTCTGATGGACGGGGTTAGTTGTTATTTAGTCGGCAGCAGAAGGGTTCATCTAAACTCAGCTGGCTGGGGGGGGGGGGCATACCTGGGGGCCGGGTTAACCCCTGCTCTGCTTTCTTTCCGCTGGGCTCTGAATCCTCCCCCCAACTCTCCCTCCGCTCCCCCTTTTGTTTATTTTACTTCCTCCAGGATCTTTTCTTTTCTTTCCACGCTGCGAGAAGTTCAGGTGGAGGAAGATCCTGACCGACCGAATCCGAGAGCTGCCAGAAGAAAATAAAGAAGCCAGCAGAAGATCATCATCAACCAGACGTTGCTCCTCTTCCTTTACATCATGTGGTCTGTTGTTGCTCCGTGTACTCTGGACAAGAAGGACATCTTCAATATCCAGATTCTTCTTCTGTTTAGTACGCACCATCTTCACAAAGCGAGCTGACCACGACACGACCGGCTTCACTTCAAGCAAAGAAACCGAACCTCAACACACGAAACGTCCGTTTGTTGAGTTCGATGAAGAGTTAAAATGTTCAACAGAGGTCAGAGTTTCTGTTTCTGTGTAGAAATCAAAGAACCTCCTCTGCTCAGCCTCAGGCAGCTGGAAGTCATTACGACCCCCCGCCGCCCCCCCAACACACAGCCCGGCTGTGCTTCTACCACTTTACAAATCCACCCAGGACTTTAACAAGCATGTTTACTGCTTAGTAAGACTCGCTGAACACACCACATGCAACGGGAGAGAAAATAATACTATGAATAATACTGAGATGTTACTGAGATGGATCACTACATGTGTCCATGGCTGTCGTCCAACCACAGAGGTGACATGTCTCCCCTCAGACGTGCTCACAAACCAGGTCCGACGCTTCCAGGTCGACTTCCGCTCGTCTGGTTGAAGGAGCAGAACCTCCAGCAGAGAACAAAGGAGGACTCACTGCTGAACTCCACTTTATGCCCAATAAAGAGCTGCAGGAGCCACACGGGGGGCGGGGCCTCTTTAACAGTTTGGGACATGTAAATAATTATGATGAGATGAAGCCCGTGTTGCCTTCACTGACCCGCTGAGCAATAACGCCAGAGTCTGGAGGACGGAAACTGTGAGTCAACTGAAGAGCAGCAGAAAGAGATGAAGGTCAACGTAAACAGGAAACGTTTGATTATATTTAACACAGCTATGCTGTAAACATGCTCGGTGGGTCAGTGAACGCCTCGTTATATTATCCATATATACGATACATGGTACATGTATAATATATATATACCGTATAGATGTATCTATAGGTATATATACATATAGATATAGATGGCAGGACACGGGTCATCAACGGTGACTTTTTGTACGGTGACGTAAACAAAATGATTTATTATACAAAAAAATAGTCATGAAAATGAACTCTAAACCTCCAACTGCTGGAACCAGTTCGATCCGGACTCACATGTCGTCTCTACATCCTCTGATAAGCGTCTCCGCCTGCTTCCAGAACCCGTTGTTA